TCGGACAGCTTGTTATTTCCTCTACAAAGCAGACTATCTAAGTATGTGCAATACTACCATAGTATGCAAATACATTCTTAAATCTTAAATATCTCCCTGAGTGCAAGAGCAGCTCCATTGTTTTGTGGTCAGGACAGCCACCTGGGAGGTAGGAGAACTGGGTTCCAGCCCCTGCACTGATGAATATTACTTATGCCAAGTGGAAAATCTTCATAAAGAAAGATTGAGAAGCCCTACCCCAAATACTTTATGATCTGGTGAATAAGGCAGATTCAGTTTGACAAACATTTTTTAAAATTGTTTTTCGTTCAGCAACAAAACAAGCAACCAGTGACCCCCTTCAAATATTTGCACATACCCACTGTGTTTCTACAGTGCATGTTTCAGTGAATAGAACCTCACTCCCTTTTCCATTCCATACCTTTATGTCTATGAGCTATTTCTTCAACCTATTCATTCTACAAGTACAGTAAACTAATACAGTAATAAACATGGGGGAAAGAGGGGGAAGGGGCAGATGGAGGGGTGGGTATAGGGAAAGGGTCATCATACCACTTCAGCAGAACTCTTAACATACTACTTTTGTGGCATATGGCACTGAATTTTAAGTTTAATCACTAGGCTAACTCTGCCATGTATATATCAAGAGCATGAAATTGTTTGTTTCAGAAAATAACAGAATAAGACAGGCAGAGTTGGATTTTGAATCTGGGACCGTGCCTCCTATTTTCCCATAGAGCAACACTGCTTCTCACAGGGTGTGTCTACACATGAGCTTTAATGGACAGTAGCCTATTTTACAGTGCATTAGTGCCATGTAAAAAACCATGCAATTACATTAATGCACAGTAAAAAAGGCTAATGCACAGTAAGTGTCACTTAAAAACCGTGTACATTCATTACTGCAGCCTAATGCACATTTCTTTAGTACTTCACATTAGAGGTAGTAAATTTAATGCTTATTAGAAAAAGAGCCTTAATGCACATGTAGACATGCCCACAGAGAAGAAAACATTGTAAAATAAGTTGGTGAAAATCTGTGGAAGGCATCTATGAATATTGGGAGGGCTGGGAGAAAGCTGTAATGGTACATTGTGGGTTTGTCTGTGCCCTTGGAGAGAAAGGAATTGTTTGTTGCCTTTGGAAGACCACATGGGACTGTTTTTATACTTCTGATTAAATATCTCCTAAGGAATAAATTCTACAGCGCTGTGTAGGACCTCTGAGAACTGTGACTCTGGAGTTAGGAACAATGTTGTGAAGAAAGCTAGGTGGAAGAGTTGAATCTCTAATGTACCAAAGTGCTGGGAAGTGGAGTGTGAGCAGTTCCTTGACTTTAATCAAAAGATGTCAAGGATTTTCAGAGGTGAAAAAGCAGCTATTCTCCATGGTGATTATTTTCTTCTTTATGTTCCTCTTCTAAGGATGTGCGGCTCTGGTCTAATGAGTATTTTCCCTGCTCCAGAGGGGTGTGGTTAAGACTTCTGTATCTAAACTTTGTGAATTTGAGATAATGCTATCACATTATTGTATGATGCTCTTTTTAAATAATCCATTGGACTCTCTTTGTTTTACCATTTCTGGTTGTGGTTTCCTCTCCTTCAGTCCAAGGTAGCCAGTCTTCTTATCTAATGCCTGGCTCTCTGTTTCTCTAAATATGAAGCATGTGTGCTATAACTTAGGTATATTTGTGGTTAGTGGCCTGTTTCCAAATTAGATGCATGAATACTGTGAGATTTTGACACATACGGGAAATGTATTTCCCTCCTTTTACAGCTTATTGAATAATCCCATGGCTGATTTGAATGTGGTTAGAAATACATTCTGGATTTACTCTACAGGAAGACTCAAACAAGTCTAGAAGTCAAGGAACTAATTTATGTTTCCAAGTTCCTCAGATAACTGTTTCTACATATGGCATAGGGATTAATTCCATAACACTATGATGTTTGAGTTTCCCATTTGCTGGGAAATTCAAACTTAATCCCCTTAAAATATTTTTGATGTTTAAAACAATTCTTTCCCCGTTATCCTTTCATATGAATTAATAAACAAAACAGTGATCTATGTCAGTTAAGTTCAGTTTATTCACAAGTCTGTGAGAGCAAGAAAATAAGTATCTTAATGAGACAGCCTGTCTTGGTTAACACACCCAAAGCTGCAGTAGGAAACTCCAGAACTGAAAGAAGCATCACCAAGTTGTTGCAGTTTAAGCTAAAAGTCTAGCGTGTGGTAACAGATCTATATGCCCTGTGGACTGATTACAGAGGGAGACCAGAATAGGGAGCAGCATACACACTCTGCTAGACCTGGTCAAAGGACAGATTTGCCATGTTGCAAACTATTTTGAGACAAAAAAACAAAGTTACCCCAGAATGGGGTGAAAAGTCAAAACTTCAGAATGCTTTGTGAAATGTCTGCTTCAAATTTAACCTTTTTCATTTTGATTTTAATAAAAATACAACTTTTGAAATGAAAATGTTATCTTTTTTGTAAACATTAAAACAAGGTTCAAAATATTTTTATATTAAATTGAACTTTTTGGGTATAATTGAAATGACATTTCCTGAGGGAAAACTGTTTTGATGAGAAACTTCTCATTGCCTCTGGCATCTGCTCTGTGGCTGGATTAGAATGATTACTGCATACAAAAGTAGGCTAGGGACAGAAGTTACACATAAAGTGATTTAAGTGATCAGAAACTTGTTTAAACCTGTAACAGAACTGAAGCTCAGTGCACATAAAACAGTTTCAAAATGGCTGAAACTAGTTTAAGATAAACCTGGTTGAAATTAGTATCAGACTTAACTGATTTGGGTCAAACCAGTTTATGCAACTTCTGACCCAGGCCCCTTCCCGGTTCAAGTTAAATCAAAGTCCTCCAGCATCCCATCATTTTGCATCCCTGGGGTGGGCTGTGCTTTCTGCTCCAGAGATCAGGGCTGGCCCTGCCCTCTGCTCCTGACATGGAGCAGTGAGGGTTGGTTGACAAGTGGGGGGAGCCCAGTCTGTGAGGGGAGGGGCTGCCCCCCCAGGCAAACCATTGGAGTCTGGGGCCAGGGAGTGGGGTTAAACACCCCTTCCTCCACTCAAACTTACTGCTGGCTGCAACTGTGGTCTACAAATCCCAGGGGCACCTGGAATCAGGAAGAGGAAGTGATAAGCAACCCTTCAGAGTCCTGCTGCTGTAATTCTGGACTGCAAGTTCCAGGGACCCCGGGGGCAGCAGGAAGTGAACACACAGCCAGGGAGCTGTGCATCTCCCCCCCCCCCCCCCCCCCGCCAGCTTCTGCAGGCATGTGGCTGCATTTCCTGAATCAAAGGTAAATGTCTGTTCACTTGTTTCAATTTAATCCCTGCAGTTTAGACTAGCCTGCAAAGACTGAATCAATTCAGCCCCAGATTTTCTGACTGTATATAGCCTGAGAAGACTGTCTATAATAGGCCTGCCAGTCTTTTGGCACTCCCTTTAATAAATTCCCTAATACCACTGTACTGGAAGATTTACTCCAGTCTTTTGGGGAAAGAATACCATATGCGCAAGCACAACTACTCAGAATTGCGCCAGTCTGTTGGTAAATGCTTTCATGTTTGGAGAAGAGCAACAAATAACCTAAATGATATCCAATGGCATACCACAGTGCCTAAGTATAGGCTACAATGAATAATGCCTTTCAAAGGGGGGTTCCTCTTGTAGGTTAAGAAAGTAAATCACAAAAATGTGGAGAAACCCCAATATTTCATATAACAGGGATTTCTACCTCTCAAACAAAGAGGGGTGAAATTTGGGGTTACATGTTTTTAACTATGAATAAAAAATGCTTACCTTTTGCCTAGCTTGGTAATATAAGCCTGTAGTTTCTTAATTTTGTTTAATTTTTCACTGGACAAATCTATCAATGAAGTATGCAAATAATGGTGATAATTTTTAATGTCAGCAAAGTTATGATCTTTAGTAGAGATTATGAAAGAATCTGAATAAATCTAGAAGACGCCCATGAAAAATATTCAGATCAGAATATGCTAGTTGAGGCCCTTTTTATTTTTTTCAGGTGCAGTGATATGTGAACTCCCCCTCCCAATTTCCCTTAAATCTGTTTATATTCCTGTACCTTGCCTACCATTTTCCTGGTAAAAGTAGAGTACTTCTGCTTTACTCAGCTTGATTTTACTTTTTTAAGGAAATCCTATTTTTTCCTCACTCAATTTAGAGAAATTGAAGAGGCATGTTTTCCTTTCCCTGGTGGCTCCCAGTTTGGATTCCTGGTCTTTGATATCCACAAATGAAAGAAAATACCACCCAAATTTCCCCTTTCATCTTGCCTTCTTACTGGGGCAAGGGAGATTTTCCTGATACACTTAGCAGATGGCTTTGTTATGGCACACAGTCCCAAGCAAGTTGATTTATTTTTCCCCCGAATTGCTCTGGTACTTTGGGTAAGTCATTTCACTTCTCTAGTCTTCTCTTTCACCTTTCTACTATTTAAAAAAGAACAGTTAATATTAACTACCCTAAATGTTTGTGAGGTGCTTTGGAATTCTTGGGTGGAAAATGGTATGATGTGTAAAGTGCACTCCTTGGAAAAGGCCAGCTTCAAGTTTTCACCCATTTTTTCCACTATGGAAAAATAATACAATAGTTTTTCCATTGCAAAAATCTCAGAGGTCAGAAGGTTTTTTAAATCTCTGGGTTTATCTTGTGAATCATATTTGAACACCTAACAGTGCTAACATTGTGTGGCATCCCCTGGCACTCTTGAAAGGATCCTAAGGTACCCCAGGGTGGCATAGAACCTTGATTGAGAATCACTACTTTAGGGCAATAGGAGCTTCCGTTTTACTTTTTACATTACAAGAGGACATTTACTTTGATAAGTTTCATACATCATTCAGGCACTGAATAATGTATAATAAATTCCATGGATTTTGAGTCAATCCTTGTCAAGTATAGATATTTTGGAACTGAACAAAAGTGCAATAGATTTATTATTTAACCTTACAGAGAATGGACTATATCCAGACTTGGTGTAAGCACAGTTTGCTCCAGGAAACAAGTAAAAGTTGCAGCTGTTTGTGCTGGGTCTCCATTTGGCTTATTGTCTTTGCCTTGTACTCCAGTCTTTCTAATTACATTCATCCAAATATCTTTGACTGACATTTCTCTTTCCCTGCCCCTTTTCTTAATTACACTCCTTTCCCCCCACTCATATATGAATGCTATTGGGGAATGCCATTTTCATATGCCAACAGTTTTGATTGATAGAGGTCTTTAATTGTTTCTGGCACTCCCAGATCCTTGGACCCAAAGTATGTTTTCCAACCAGTTGATTTTTCTTATGAATATAGTTTCTCTATAATAGTTTTGATGTCAGACTAACAAGGTTCAGGCTTTTTGGAATTTATCCCCACATAGAAGGAGAAAGCTGAAGAATGACAACCGTTCCTTGGAATGAGATGAGTTTGGGAGAAACATCAGGGGCACAAAAGTCTAGTAGTTTAGGAGCAGCAAGTAGAAACTATGATATCTAATGCTGATTTTATCATAGATGCACTCACAGGGTCAACACATGCATTTACATCATTGTGCGGGAGCGCGAGAATCCAGGAACCCCAGGGAAAGCAGCGGTGGGATATCCGCGGTGTCGGACCCACCCTTTCCCAGCGAGACAGGGCACTCACTTATTGATTGCAGCTGGGATCACCGAGAAATGGTGTTAAAAGGGCCAGCGGTCCACGAGACGGGGGCGGCAGCGGAACCGGAAGTGCCCGGACAAGCGGCAGATACCGGCGCCGCGGGAAGCAGGCAGAGGCGATCCACTCAGCACCGGACCCGCACGTTGTGGGGTGCAGGTAAGACCCCGGCAGGGGACCAGGTTGGAGCCGGGAGCACCGGAAGACCCAGCCCAGCAGTTCCTCTCAGAAGCCAGGGGAAACTTAGGGCAGAGCTGCGGGTGCGAGGAGGGAGCAGCTCACCGTCTGGTGAGCGGACGACAACCCTACTGGGGGAAGACTTGTCCTTCTCCCGAAGTCCCAGGGGAAGAGGGACACCCCGAGGGGAATTAGGCTCATAGGAGCCCCGAGGACAGAACTCCGCCGGAGAAAGTTCAGCAGCCCAGTGAGGCAACTGGGCGAGCTGCATCCCGCGGGAAGAGGGATTAATTGCTCCGAGTATGATTGAGGCCAGTGGGGACCCCACAGTCCGGAGGCCAGGGCGAGGGTGTAGGGGTGGAGGAGCCCTCTGCGACCCCGGGGACCCACATACGCAGAGTCTCACTTCCGGACGTGCACGCACCAGACGAATAATACTGAACCGGAATAACATCAAAGTCATGGCAGGAGAGTTAAGTGGGTGCACCGTGGGAGGTGAGAGCACCCTCTAGCAAGAGGGGTCCACCGGGCCAGACCGAATAGAGAAACGAAGGCTCGACACTTCACAATCACATTAAATTTACTGTGTAGTAAATTACTGCACGGTAAATGGAAATAGGCTGGCATCTACATGCACAGACATTAAAGCACATTAATGTTGTGTGTGGTCTGACTTGGGACTAAAGTTAGTCCTAAGTCAGTGCACACGCACAGTGTTACTGTGCAGTAAGGCGTCTACACGTACTTTACTGCACAGTAATTATTTGGGCATAAATTTGATATGATGCAGCTATCAAAATTACGCTCAAGTCAGTGTAAGTTGCCAGTGGAATTACTGTGCAATATTGGTGTGCGTGTGTAGACTGTACTGTGCAGTAATTTAGGTTACTGCACAGTAAATGTGCACACGTAGAGGTGCCCTGTTGCTCTTTTGCATAAAATGTTTTCCCTCCCTCCTGAAAGCTAGTTATATTTGAAGACAATTAAAGTCTCTCCAGCATTGATATTATGGTACTGCCTAGAAGCTAACCAGGTCAGGGCCTCCCTGCAGTAGATGCCCTGTCCAAAAAAATTACAGCCCCTTCTTCAGAGAACTTACAGTCTCAGTGCTAAGCATTATTAAAACCTAAATTTTATAAACCTACCTATATTTCCAGCATGGTAATAAATTTGATACAGGAAAGAAAAATGTTTAATGGAGTCTTTACATAGCTACAGACAGGGGAAAAGGCAGTCATATATATCCCAGAGAATGGAATAGTTCATAACTATCTTAATCCTTTCAGGAAGAGTATTTTAAAAAAGGGTGATAAGGTGTTCTTTTCAAGTATGTGACAGCAATTATTCACTCAGACTCACAAGGACAAACCTCCAGCATCCAAAATGTGTCTAAATCAGTTGGATGAAGGATGAGCACAATGTGTGCGGTTCTCTGTGTTGTGTGACAGTTTTGAAAGAAAATTCTGAAATGAAAAAGTACCTTTGGCACTGGCTTAACACAACACATCATCACAAGCTTAAATCCCATTAAAGTCAGTGGGGTAAGCTTCAAGTGAAGCATGCTTTGCTGGGGCCTGAAAAGGCTGCTGGTATGAGGCTATGGCATTACTAAGAGTGATAAAATCAGAATTAATACTACAATGTAGAATTTCAGTGCTTTTGTAGCCATCACTCCCTGGATTTTGTTAATGTTTAAATTCAACTTAAACAGGCATTGTGCAGTTCCATAGATATATTTTCTGTATAATATACAGAAGAGCATGGAAAAGACTCTCTTCCTCTGGAATGAACGTCAAGTATCATCTCAAATTTGTCAAAGAAGGTTTTCCTTATGTCCAGTCTAAAATGGTCTTCCAGCAGTTTGTGGCACCTACTCTGGATAACTTTAAGAAATGCTTGGATGCTTATCTTGCTGGGGTGATATGACCCCAGCTGACTTCCTGTCCCTTGGGCAGGGGGCAGAACCTCATGATCTTGCAAGGTCCCTTCCAGCCCTAATGATTATGAAATCTATGAGAAAGTTAAAGATTGTTTTCCAATAAAACGTTGCCCATCTTTTCAGCTGTTTTGAGGGAGAACAAATAGGCAAATTGTTACAGAGCTTGAAATAGAACAAGTAGCCCTGAACTTAAAGAGAAAAGACTACCATGTATGGCTGAATTAAATCATTCACTGAATTAATTAAACCACTTTTTCTTCTTATGTGAGTAAATTATGCTTTTTCTTATATGTTTTGGTAGGATGAAAGGGTTCTAATAGCTCTCTGTACATGAATTATGAATTATTTGCAAATTGGGCTATGCTGGTTATTTTTCCATTGGAGAAGCCAGATGTCTGGTGTTTCCATTCCTTAAATGAATTTGGTGTCAATTCTAAAACAAGGCTTCTGGAGTTGAATATTTGACAGCACAAGATTAAAAATTGTCTTCTGCATTTATCTGCTAGTGGGTGAGTTCCCTGGGATCTGTCTTTCTGTTACTTAGACATAATAGCTAGTGCCAGTGAGGGCCTAATCTTGGACTGAGTCCTTTCCATCCTACTAAATTCAAAACCAATAGGAGGAATAATTTTAACATACACTTTACTGTTTCTACCAACATCCCTGCCATTAGATCTGTACAGCAGAGTAAATAATAATCAGCATAATAAATAAATAATTATTAATACATTTCTTACCATGGACCCCACATCTAAACCTCCTGGCTTTGCTTTACCAAGGCTGAGCTAGACAATGTTGAACCGGGTTCATACTAGACAAGTTAGATGTAAGTACTAGGGCTGTGCCAAATTTCTCTGAGTGTTTCATTTTGAAGCTGTTTTGAGCTCAAAACAGCAAAATCAAAACAAAACAAAAAGCTTTGAAATGAAATGAAGGCACTTGAAACATTTCCAAAGTTTCAATACGTTTCAAGTTTCGAAGCAGCCTGGTGGCAGGAGGCAGGGGAGAGCCAGGGCTGCACTCCTGTCAGCTCCACAAGCCCTACAGAGCTCAGCCTAGCAGCGGGAGGTGAGCAGAGCCAGGGATGTTCTCCGCCTCCCACCACTGGGCTGAACTCCATGGGGCTGCAGAGCCGCTTGGAGTGCAACCTGGCAGCAGGAGGTAGGGAGAGCCAGAGCTGCGCTCTGATTGGCTCCTCCAGCCCCATGCAGTTTGGCCCAGCGGCAGGAGGTGGGCAGAGCCAGGGCTGTGCTTCACTTACCATTGCTGGGCTGAGCTCCATGGGTCTGCAAAGGTGATTGGAGCTCTGGCTCTCCCCTGCTTCCCACCACTGGGACAATGACAGGAGGTTGCCACTGCTGCCTGGGGCCAGCGGCAGCACCAGCCTTCCCTGGCGCTGGGTGCAGGCTGTGCCCAGCTCTGGTCCCAGGCAGCAGCAGCATCCTCCTATCATCCGGCACAGATCCAGGGGCCTGCACCCCTAGGAGGAGTTTGGCACATCCCCACAGTCCTCCCCGGGGTGCAGGCCCCTGGATCTGCGTGCTGGATGACAGGAGGCTGCTGGCAAGTGTCACGAGTTTTGCTTTTTGCAGTTTGAAGTGCAGTTTCTGAGAAACCTCTGCACGTGTCTCCTTGAAACTTGGCAGTCTTCATGCCCTCAAAAGGGGCTACCATCCCTGTATTTTCATCCAAATCAGGCAGGAAATGGCAAAGTTTTAGGCATTTTCATTATTTGCCATTATAGCCTATGGGCAAAACATTGAAATGTGTTGAAACAGTGAAACAGTTTCGATGAAATGAAATGGGACAGTGCTTTGAAACTAAATGAAACGTTGAAATGAAACACTGTCCCTTTGAAATGGTGAAACAGACGTCAAAATGAAACGATGGTGTTTCGCACAGACCTAGTAACTACCTACCATGTAAATGGAATTTTATTAAAGACCCCAAGTATGAGTGTGGCAAAATCCAAACTATAGCACACGTCATACAGGAATATCTTATTTATCATTTTAGTGGTTGCATTGAATACCTTGCACCCGACTATTGATGATGCCTTGCAATGGATTTCAAATCTAAAATTGTTACTCTAGCTCTACCCCCAGTGCTATTGTTTATAGGCTGTTTACAAGTTGTTTATAGCTTGTTCTGTCATTTGGTTACTGCATTCCATATGAATAAATACATTCATAAAGCAGAATAATCCTGGTAAGAAAATGTAGTGGAGGATAAGCAGAGTAACCATTCAAGTTTTTATTTATTTGCAGATTTTTGGTATTATGAAGCAGGAGAGGAGGACATGGAAGGGAAGCACCAGTTCTGAGTACTACAAGGTTTTCTTTTTATTCTCCAGAGTTCTAAAAAGACAGTTGATGAAAAGAGAACTGGTGCATTTATTTGACCTCTAGTCATGGATGGATTTGTGTTTCTAGAGTACAGTCAACTTTAAAAAAAATATTTTGGCCTTAGTATTGATTCCTTAGCTTTTCTCTTTATATGATTATTTTACAGGAGCTCAATGGGTGCCACTTGCTACAGAGATACAGCAATATGAGGCCCATTTATTGTTTGCTTGTGAGCCAATAGAACTGTCTACTATGTGGATGAGAGGAACGGTGGCAGAACAGAAAAGGTATCTTGCTCTGGAAACAGAGGCATGAGTTTTAATATGACTGCACATTTGCACTGAAGGTCATACCCTGTCAACTGAGAAATAAATGGGGTAGGGAGTAAAAGTAGCTGAACATCACTGCCCCATCACTGCCCTGTAGCTTGTGGTCTAGTTGGCAATCTAAACCTGAGATGACTGTTGAGTAGTTTGATAATTTTGATTTCTCCACTCTGTATATGCTATAACAGGGCATGGTATTGTCATAAGTACTTGTGATTAATTGACTTAAATATGTCCCTTTATTTTCTTGGCTCTTATTACACATGCCCAAAAATGAAAACTCCGGGGAGTCTTGACACTTTTCTTTGTGGATATTTCTGAAATGTTTTGCCATTTTTGTTTTGGCAAATTCAACCTGAATTGATAGATTTACAGCCACTATGAAGTTATAGATTTTGGCAAATAAATGACTTGCCAAAAATTGTTCTACCCAGCTCTATATGCCATTACTAGAAAAAAGTTTAGACATGTAATAAGATATATGCAAATGGGATCTTAACTCTTCCACAGATTTCCAGGGCGGCCTTAGAACTATCCTTTAATATTTGTTCCTGTATCTGTAAAATGGGGATAAGATTTTCATTGCCTTATCTATGTCAATGGAAAATTATTTAGTGAAGGGACAGTTTCTTGTTGTTTTTGTACAGTATCTATAACGACAGGCCTCTGATTTCACTAGGTGCTACCATAATACAAATAAAAATAGAAATACATTTGTATATGCTTCTCCCTAATACCTGAGTATTTCATTAGACCCCCTGGCATTAGAATCATGGCCTTTGAAAGGACCTCAAGGGTCATCTATTCACATCCCCGGGACAGGCACAGGATGCACTATTCCAGGGAGTACCGTCTGAGAGTAATGATCTTTTTATACTCCATTTGTTCTTTTTACCTTTGAGCTTTATCCTGGAGCATACGTATAGATGCCCAAAGAGACTAAAAGGTGCAAAGAGAGTAAAAACCCAGATCTGGAGGCCCAGAACTTTAATCACAAGACCATTCTTTCTCCTACAAGGCTACAAATAAAGTGCTCTGAAAATTGTAACAGAGATGGTGAGAGAGTTTGAGGTAAGTGTCATGTGAGATTAGTTTGATCCAAGTATCCAGACATGCCTATTTAAGAAGAAAGCAATTACTAAGCTACATATTTTTTTTCTTGTAGCTCTAAGTTGGAGAAACAAAGGGCAGGCAAAAATTTACTCTTCACACAAACAAAAGGCATTAAAAAAACCAGACCTTATTGTGCTGAAGATTTTGATGAACAAACACGGTAGTTTGATTTTTAGTTGATTCCAGCTGTCATTCCCCATTTCTGATCTTGCTAGGCTTTCTTTGAGTGCGCTTCTCTTTTTTCTGTTACTAGCTACCAGAATTACTATTGTTGTGGACTGAGAAGGCTTACAAAAATTGGAGTGTTCTGAACCATGGGAGAAATAATTAGCTGGTAAGCCAGGTTGATATGACAGATACTTCCACTCATTGCTCTCTTTCATGACCTGCAAGGAAACTAGGAGCTGGATGTGAACACAGAAATTTTCCTGTCCGGCCATGTTGCTGCCAGATCAGAAAATACATACAACTCCACATAACAGACCGTACTGTAATGTCTTTCCATACCTCCTGTTGAGGTGATCTCTTCACAGTATGTAAGTGGGACCCATTTCTGTCTCACACTCCTACTGAAACCAGAGGTTACTGGGCCCTTTTAACTGTTTTTTTTTTTCAGTAGTGAAAGCCAAGGGGATGTAGACTTTCAATTTCTTTCTGTACAATTTAGTAAGAGTTGAAAGAATCTTGCCCACTGGTTATTTATCATCATTATAACAAATTATTTGAGCTCCAAACAAGGTGGAAGAGTGGGGTGGATTAGCTGAGCTGCTTTCTATTTTATTGCAAACTCTTAATGAAATTTCAGTGTAATTTCATAGTTTGCCCTTTATCTCTCGCTTTATCTTCCCAATTCTGGGGAAAAAATAAAATATTGGCAAGATTTTCTATTTCTTGAGGTGTATTAATTGGAAGAACATTCTTCACTAATTGCCATAAGATAAAGCAGGTCTTCCTTTAGAAAATAATTATGTCCTTTGTTCATGCTGCAGATGTAACATTGTGAGTTGTAGGGCTGTCAAGATATCCTATCTAGATGCATTTGCATTAAATCAGTAATTTTCCATTTTGCTTATTAAAACAAGCCCCTCATAACTGGGAATTGTTTTGAGAATTAATGTCTCTTTATTGAGTTTTCCTGTTTTGTAATTAAGGAGTATTTGCGCTGTGGACTCTGAGACTATTGTAACAATAATTCTTCGAAAACTCTCTTATGGCCTTGATTTTTTTTCGCAGCTGAGACACAGGACAGACTTGATTTAGAGTCCATGGCGAGATCTTATGCATAAGAAAACAGAAGCAGAAGCAAGACCAATGTAGGATGAGAACAGCTACACCTGAAATCGCCCAAGTAGAGGGCATAACAAATAATGATGTGATATGATGCTAAATGTTAATCCTTTCACTCTCTTGCTCTGTAACTTAGATGTAGAGCAGGAATGAACCAGTTGTTTTTGTTGTTCTGTGAAACTGTTGTAAAAATCACAATCCCAAATTTTACCTGATGTCATGTCTGTCTACTCTTCCTCTGACATGTTTGGGAACACCTACTCATGCTCAGTGTCACTTTTTCTGCAAAATGAGACATTGTTGAATATGTGTCCATTCTGAAACTGAGTGCAGTAAAACCTTGTTTGTTTGAAAAAGGGGATAAAAAAATACCAGCTTCAAGATAAATGGGTTTGGAATAAATGTAGGGATAGTAATTTGCATTACTATGGGCACATACTATAAGCACATACAGACTTTGTTTACTCATGTGCTGATCTTACTAACTGATAAGACAAAGTGAGGGGTTATCCCAATGACTAATTAACAGGACTGTGCAAAGCTTTGGTTACTGATTCAATTTGGCTCGATTCAGCGGCCAAATCTCTGAATCTGAATTGAATTGGGAGATCCTTTAATCTCTCCAAATTGAATCGAACCCTCTGAATTGATTCAGAGAGTTTTGGAGAGATTATGATTCAGCCATAGACACAGCTTTAACTGTTTTTACTACAAACCTCAAGATACCAGGCAGCTCGTGAATGCTGAGGTGGTGGGGTGGATGGAGTGTCCTAAGGGAGCATGTGGGGTGGCGTCCCCAGTGCGCTCAGTGGTGGACCTGGAAGTGGACCAGAAGCCTGCCTCCCAGCTTGGTGACTGGTGCCTCCTGGGTCTGGGGGGGCACCTGGGGTCCCCTTGTGTCCTACCATCTCAGCATTCAAAAGCCACACCTGGTACCTTGAGGTATGTAGAAAGAACATTTAAAGCTGTGTCTATGGCTGAATAGCTGATTCTCTGAATCAGCATTGAATCTTCAGATTCAGATTCAGCTGAATTGAATTGGGACAGTGATCTGAATCAACGAATCAAATCACTGTCCCCTGAATTGGGCCGAATCCAAATTGAATATAACTCACTTTTCACACCCCTACTAATTAAGCATATTTCATGGGATGTAGCACAAGGGAATTCCTAATGTAGACTAACAACAATGATCTGGAGGCCCTTTTTTCTGCTTATATCAATCTAAGTCCCATCATCTCCCTGCTGCCCCATCCTACCCAACCCCTAGCACACCCAACATCCCCAATCATGCGAAACCACCCTGTTCCTACTAACTTCCAATTTTGTCCTACATCATGCATATATTGGGGGCTGCTGCCCCCACCTTCTACCCCTGCAGACTCCCATGCACCCTGGCATTTGCTGTTCTCAGCCCTGGCTACTCTGCATGCTCCCACTCTCTGGGGCACTCCTGGGGCAACCCCTGATCATGCCAAACTGCAGTTTTTCCAGGCTATGGACCACTGTATAGTTCCTGCGGGAGCATTGTGCAACTAAACCCTGGCCAGAAATGGCTGGAGGGAGGTAGGGGCTGTGTCTCCCCTGCCTTGAAGTGTGATGGTGAGGAGTGACCAAAGCATCCAGGCATGAGGACCCACCTCTGTAGGCAGCACATGATGGGCCACATCTAGGGGAAGTAAGTCTGCATGTACCCATAGTAATTTGGATACATAAAAATTACTATCTGTACAGTTATTTTGAACCTATTTATTTCAAAGTTGGTATTTTTTGGATCCCTTTGTTTTGAATTAATGAGGTTTTCCTGGTCCAAGGGACCAGAAAACTGCTTCGAATTTTAAAGGAGACTGAGGCTGGGACTGGCATGAAGGGTTGGTCCTGAGGTCCATGGGCTACATTACATGGCTCCACAGGCTGGATCTGGCCCACAGACGGCAAGTTTGATACCCCTTCAGTAAAAGACTTCAAACATGTGGCTTGTTCAAAGTGGAATCTAAGTTTTAGGGACTTGGGGTCATGTTTTGGTAAGTGGTGGGCTCCTCAGAGTGGGATTCTCAACAGCCAGCACACCAAGGTGGGAGCTGCCTATGTATGAGTCAATAGGAAATTATGAGTAGATAATGGATAAAATTCCGCCTGTCTCTGGGGCTGAGGCCCATACCTCCTTCCTCTAGTGCAGGGGTTTTCAACCTTTTTTAAGGAGTACCCCTTCTGAGTACACTTCTGGTGGAGCGGGGTGTGGGGGTGGCAGTGGCTGAATGTGGAGATGGTGGGTAGTGGCAGCCAGATATGAAGCAGGGAGGGGCAGAGCCCTTACTGTGGGTGGCAGGCCCTGTCACACTGTGTGGAAAAGCGAGCTCCTTTCTGGCGAGGGTCTGTGCTGTGGGCTTGGGCTGCAAACACAGAGGAGCTGCTGGCCTGGCTGCTGCTGCTCTGTGCCTGGAGACAGCCCCTGAACAAGCCTCCTGTTTCTGGGAGGGAGTTGTCTTTGATCACAGGGCTGCAGCAGCCGGGCTGGGTAGACCCAGCTAGTCAGACCCGGCCATGGAGTGAGCAGCCCCTCTGTGCTTAGATCAAGCCCCCTCCCAGGAGGAAGGGGTTTATTCAGCTGCTGGCCATGGGGTTTGCCCAGCTGGGCCACAGCTGAAGTGGTGTGTGCTCAATGGGCAGGAGTCTGTCATGGCTTCCTGGTGGGCACTTTGGGGCTGGCAGAATGGCTGTGGAGCACAGTGGTGCTCCCAGGGCTTGCAGGGCTCTGGCCCCAGACCCCGGCATTGCTTTGTGCAGCTTAAGCCCTCAGCACAGCCCCTCGCTGGGAAGAGGCTCATTCTCCCCCACAGTGTGACAGGGGCTGCTTCCCCCAGTAAGGGCTCTGCCCATCCTGCAGCAGCGGCAGGGAGAGGACACGGCCAGGCAGGGCCCCTGGGGGGGCAGCCACAGGGTTATTCCTCCTGCCTCCAGCCTTTGGTGGAGGGGACAGCCAGGGACCTAGTCCAGGCAGGGCACCACCTGGCTGCCAGTGGGGTAGAGGGGAAGCTAACTCTGCTTTCTGCTGCCCTCTGCCTCAGGGGCCATGGTGCCCCCCTGCTGTAGCAGTGAGTGGGAGTGCAGGGAGACTGGGCTTGGGACCCTGCCAGTGGCACAGGGAGGGGGGAATTAAACCTCTCTCTGGCTGGATCCCTGCCTCTGCCAGTCCCTGCTCAGGCTGTGGAGCAGAGGAGTGGGGCCAGCCTGGCTGGGCTGGAGCAGAAAGCCCCACAAGGAGAGCATGCTGTGGGTCTCTGATTTAACTCAAACCAGCAAAGGGTCTGGGACAGACATTGCATAAACAGGTTTGGGCCAAATCAGTTAAGTCTGAAACTACATTCAACCAAGTTTATCTCAAACTGGTTTCAGCCATTTTCAAACTGGTTTATGTGCACTGAATGCCTGTTCTGTTACAGGTTTAAACCAGTTTCTGATAACTTAAACTGGTTTATGTGTAATATCTGTCCCTGGCATTATAGTCTATTCTGGGGCCAGGTAGCACTTTCCCCTCAGTTCTTCTTTTACCCCAAATGAAGCTGTTCTGCTAGGCCAGAAAGAGGAGGAGTATTTGCTTTGTGGTAGTACACTTCCTGTGAAGGAGGAGTCCTGAGTTATCGTCTGTAGGCCAAGGACTGTTGTGTGTAATTTATATGAAAGTTGAAGTGTTGCTGTGGCTTTGATGATCTAGGCTGGTCCAATGAAAGAATATAAAAATGAAGGTGTTAAAGTAATTGGTAAATAAAATACAGTAAGGATACAGACAGAAGTGCAGCTCCCTGCTGTAACTGAGAACATTTTGCAGGAAGCGTCTGAATTACAATGATTCCCTGGACCAAACAGAAGTTCACTGATGGAGGAGAATGTAGCTTCTGGCTGCAGCCTTCAGCTGGTTTCCCCTAGCAACAGCCCTTCCTCCCTCCCAGCTTGTCTGTTTCAGAATGGGAGGCAGGAAAGGGAGCTCATTCTAGGGTTTCCCCAGCCAGGACTGGAGGGTGAGGTGGGTGCATTGGAGCCCCCCACACCTTGGGAACTGAAAACCCTCCAGACCAAACTCCCTTTGCTCCCTTCCCTTCCCTCCCCACCCCATTCTGAAAACAGTGACAGGCTGGGAGGTAGCACAGACAGAAGTTATTGAAGATGCTATGTTTTGAAACATCTTCTCTGATGCCTCATGCAGTAAAGGTTTAGATTTTCACCCAATCAGCCATTTTTGAAGTGGTCTGCAGCTGTGTACTTGTGTTTGGTCATGGGTATAGACTGTTTTCTGTGGCCAGATGGGGTGAAACTTGTCACTTCTGTTTATGCCATAACGGACCAGATCTCAAGGCCTATGCAGTTCTCAAATACCCAGTAAATAGTCAACAACTGCAACAGGAAGGAGCACAGTGCCCCAAGACCAAAATAGTAACCTACCCCCTGCATTATAGTCTCTTTTGGTAGGTGGAAGCTTTCTGCTTGATGACAACTTACACCTGGAACTCTCCACTTAACATGCAAGTTCTCTACTAGGCTCCTGGACTGCTTGGTCCTATGTACATGTTTTTTTAAATGAAATTGGTAATTACGGCTGTCTTGTGCACTGTTTGAACCTTTAGATGAGGCCTGAGCATACTTAAAAATACCCACCTAATAAGGTGGATGGAGACATGCCTAGCTTGTGGATCCTGCTGCACTCAGGGATGAGCTTGATTCTCTGGTAGTGATCCCAGACAAGACTTGAGGCCCTTCTAAGAACACAGAGAGGCAGACCTCTAGGTGCATAAGAACATTTGCTGGTAAAAACTTGAGCACCTACAGGATCAAGAATGGACTCCTGGATGTAAGTGCCTAAAATTCTCTCTAAGCCTTTGAATTTGGGCATAGGTCTACCTATGTCTTGGTTTCCCACCTGTCAAATAGGGATTAATAGTACTTCCCTGTCTCTAGGGTTGTTGGAGATATGTTAAATGAGGTGCTTTGATACTACCTAGATAGCAACATAATTTGGTATTTTCCATTGAGCTGTGAATGCATTACTAGTTTAGCATTTTCTGGGTACTTTAAAAGTTACGGGGCAGGGAGAAGATTGAAGAAGAAGGGAAAACTGGTTGCTGTTATTCCTTAGGTAATATGGATACTTAATGCAACTTTGTAATTATTTAAACATATAACACCTATTGCTGGGTCTTTT